TCGCGTTGTGATGACGTCACATACGCGATTTCGTCGACCGCGCTTTTGTGGAACGCGCTTTTGACAGGTCACGAGGAAATCCAACCAGAGGCTTCTAAGGATAACTGTCCTGGAGGGGTGATTTTAGTAAAGTCAAAGCCAGTAACTCCACCCTGCCTGAGGTGGATCCAGCAAACCCCCAGGACTACCTGCTTGAACTCATTCATAGCCTCTCGGATTCTGAGAGCAGAAATATACTTAAAATGCGACACCATTTGCAGGGCAGGATACCGAACATCAGATACACTGTCCAAGAAGTAGGCTAGCATCGAATGAGTAATGTACCTCAGCTGTACATCTGGGTGATGGCTCAGCATGGCTCAATCCCTGAGGGAATATGCCGAGAATAACTTTTCAAGCCTCAGCTCTGTCATGTTTGCCTTGTTCTGCCATAGTTCGAACTCTGGATCCTACCCCATGGTGTCTATTATCTTCTCCCTTGGATTTGTCTTTTTTTTTTAAATTGGATTCAAAGTCATGACCCAGGCCAAGCCTTGACCATCTTTATAGTTAAAAAGGACTGTTTGCTTCTAAAAATTCTGCCTGAATTTCCCCAGCATGCTCTCTTGTTGGCTGGCAGCCAGCAGTGCTGGCACAGAAAATTCATTGCCATGGCTTCTACCTGCTCTACCTTCCTCCAAACGGGAGAAAGACCTTAAAGCGGCAGAACAGCTCTTTCTGGAACAGCATGACCTCATCTAAAGCTAAATCTGATACCAGCCCACATTCTTAGCAATCCCCCCCACCCCCCCTGGATGTTGGAGACCTGGCTAATATGGCTGGGTAGGGCCGGTCACTTAAGGAAGTAAAGACAATGGCAATTCTACTTCCAACAAGAAGATATTTATCACAATCTGAGCCCAGCTTCTCCCTAGCTGTGTGCACCAGCCAAAAAGGGTAGGGATCCAGCCTACAGCTGATAAGAGTTCCTCTTATCATCTTCTTCATCAGGATCCTTAGGCTCAAATTCCTCTGAGTTGACATTACAAAACATCACCCCTTCCTAACTGTTTGACTTCTGTCCAGCTGGTTTTTACATTCAAGCAAATTTTAGCTGCACAATGACTAGCTGTCAGGTCACTGCAGCCCATTTCTAGTTCCTCTGGCTATCCTTCTCCAAACAATTCCAAGCCATTATAAAGCGTGACCCAACAAATGCGCGCATGACAAAACCGCGGTGCGAAAACCACGACATCATCAACGCACCAACAACAGCGCGCCGACAGAAGCTCAATTTAAGTTAAGGTAAGGGTTAGGGTTAGGTTTAGGGTTAGGTTTAGAGCGTGCTTCTGTCGGTGCGCTGTTGTCGGCGCGCTTCAGCGCTCATTCGTCGGCGCGGTTTAGAACTCACGGTTTTGTCACCGCGGTTTTGTCGGGCGCGCTTTTGTCGGTGAACCATTATAAAGAGCATCAGTGGACCGACAGTATTTCACAAATCCAGAAAAGACAGATAAATAATTGAACTCAACACCTTTGCCACCAGTGAAGACACAAACCTGAATGTAGACTCACGCTTGCCCACTCAGATTTGCTCTTAGTTTTCTGTCAGTATTACCCTAGAATATCTTTTGGCAGTTTCTCACGTGAAGTTTCTCAGTAAGCCAAGGAGCTGCTCCCAATCACTGAATAGAAGAGCTATCTTACTATGAGACTTCATTACCTTCATATTCCCAAAGATTAAGAAGGGCTTCTACAGAATCATACTAGGAACACCTAAGCATTGGATTCATAATACCATATCTTATTTTGAATTGTTGAACAGATTTCCCCTTGCCACTATTGCCAAACTTTATGGATTTTAATATTTATGAGTGTGAATAAATAGATGTATGTGCATACACAACAGGTAGATTGTACCACAAAGCATTAAACCTAATAGTATTATAACTTCACACAATGAATTAGGGAAATCTGTCAGGAATTACCATATTTTTCCGAGTATAAGACACACCTTTTTACCCCACAAAAGAGGGTGAAAATCTAGATGCATCTTATACTCCGAATGTAGCCCGCTCACCTGGTCCGCGCGTCGGATTTTTGGGTGATTCCAGGCGGCGGGGATCCTCACTTACTCATGGTAAGGAGACTTCTCATATTCTCTTCTGTTAGAAGAATACTATGAGCTATTTCCTTTAAGTTGGGTCCATGCAAGTACCAAGCTACAATTATTTGCACTGGTTTAGTGTGTGATTGTACTGTAGTTAGAAAAAGATTAATGTAGATGAATGAATTGAGCCAATTATGCCTTAGGAAAGAAATCATGGCTTATGACATGGTGTGAATTCAGAATTTAAGACCAGTAATGTAGTAGCAGTGATTTACATTAAACTGGAGATTAAAGAAGCAACAGAAAGAAAAAGTATACCTTTGTTGTGGTTGCAATTTCTAGGGCAGCGCTTAGCTTCTGCACGTGTGCTCTGGCTTTTTCTTCCTCTTCTTGAGACTCCTTCAGCTGCTGGCACAGCATTCTCCCTTCCATTTGTAGCACCTTTAGCTCTTCCATGTGCTCCTCCTGTATTGTATTCAGGCGCTGTTCTAAATTGGCTATAAAATAGCAAGGGAGGAATGGAGGCATAGTCGTACTCAATAAAATTGCCCAAACTTCCCATAAGAAGCACTCAAAAAGGTTTATAAGATGAAAAGAAGCTGCCCATTATCCAAAAAACACTTATCATGATTTGATAGGAAGCATTATCCTGAATTGGAGAATCTAGATCACAGATTATCTGATGTGCTATTTCGGATGGTAATAAGTTCTCCTATATCCAATCATATAAAAACAGCAGTAAAGTTGTTGACTGGGGCTCTCAAATTGCCTATCCAAGCTCTCTTTATTATAGTCCTCATAAATCCCCCAATTCAAGATTGCTACAAGCTGACAGCACATTTTCTCCCCATATTATGATGGGAAACAATTATAAGTTCCATATAAAAATATATGTGGAGTTAGGCCTAAAGTAAGCCGGTCATAGTTACAAAGGGAATTGCTGCTGTGGAGACTAGAGGCGTGGCACAAAGGAAAGAAGGTATACAGGTAGTCCTCGATTTACAACAGTTTTCTTAGTGACCATTCAAAGTTAGAACGCCAAAAAAAGTGACATGACCATTTTTCACTTATGACCTTTGCAGCATCCCCAAAATACAGATGCTTGACAGCTGACTCACATTTATGACGGTTGCAGCGCCTCAGGATCATGGGATCCCCTTGTGCAACCTTCTGACAAGCAAAGTCAATGGGGAAACCAGATTCACTTAACAACCATGTTACTAATTTAACAACTGCACTGATTTACTTAGCAAATGTGGCAAGAATAGTCCTAAAACGGGGGGGGGGGGATTCACTGAACAATTTTCTCACTTAGCAACATAAAGTTGGGGCTCAATTGTGGTTGTAAGTAGAAGACTACCTGTACAACTGAGCCCAAAATTTCCACTGCTAAGCAAGACAGTTAAGTGAGTTTTGCCTCTATGTAACAACCTTTCTTGACACAGTTGCTAAGTGAATCACGGCAGTCATTAAGTTAGTACAGTGTTTCTCAACCTTGTCAACTTGAAGATGTCTGGACTTCAACTCCCAGAATTCCCCAGCCAGCTGGCT